TTGTCGGATCAAATTAAGAACATGATTGGATATCGCAGGATGTCCAGGCAGTATCCCGCGATGTCATATCACGAGGTTAGATCTCACAGGCTGTTAACTTTCCAGATATAAAGAAACTGTTTTTCTTCTTACTTTTTGCTCTCTAACTCAACTGTTGATTTTACCTCGTTTTGCTGCCAACCGGTGAAAAGTATTAATTATCAGTTTTTACTGTCTTCTTAATACTAAACCAGGTCAATTTCAGATGAACTGAAACAACAGTCAGTGGTAGGAGCGACTTGAACTGTGAATTTTTTCTGGAATCAGCCAGCAAGATGTCAGTTTGTATCCAATCTACCAGTCAAAATTGTTTGACTAAAAATTGAAATCTTAAACCTTTTTTGTAATAAAAGCTTTTTTTTTCAGCAAAATTATGTTGGACCTTTTTACATAAATTTTTTTCTCAAAAAAGGTCAAAGTCAATGACTTAAGATTTTAATCTTTTCAATGTCACTGTAAAGCTTTTAATTTTAGTGGAATATAAATCAACCTGAAATATTCTTCCTTAAATTACTTTGAAGTATCATAAAATAAGTAAGTACTAAGATAGAAAAGTATCAGGTTAAAAGAGCTTGGCTGAAAGGAAAAAAAATGCTGCTGGCTTGATTCTGGCAAAAGTAGAAAAATTTATTTGATTCGAGTATTTACTTGTGTTATGATTTACTTGTAATTTTTCATTTGAGAATTATTTGTTTCCACACAAAGACTGAAGTTTGATGATTTTCAAAAATCACACGAATACAACCCTAAGCAGAGAGAGTGAGTTGTTTTGATAGACAGTTTGCATGTTTTTCGCAACACTAAGTAAAAACTTTGATCTGTTAAAACTTAAAGAGAAAAAAATTAAGCGGCGCGACCCTATTAAAAGACTTAAGCGGCGCGACTTAAGATAAGACTTATGCGGCGCGACCTAAGAAAAGACTTAAGCGGCGCGACTTCAGAAAAAGACTTAAGCGGCGCGACTTAAAAAAGACTTCAGCGGCGCGACTTAAGAAAAGACTTAAGCGGCGCGACTTAAGGAAACAATTAGGTGGGGCGACTTAAGAAAAGACTTAAGCTAAGACTCAAGCGGCGCGAGTCAAGAAAAGACTTGAGCGACGCGACTTAAGAAAAGACTCAAACGGCGCGAGTCAAGAAAAGACTTAAGCGGCGCGACTTAAGAAAAGACTCAAGCGGCGCGAGTCAAGAAAAGACTTAAGCGGCGCGACCTTAAAAAAACTTATGCGGAGCGACCTAAGAAAAGACTTAAGCGGCGCGGCTTAAGAAAAGATTTAAGCGGCACGACTTAAGAAAAGACTTAAGCGGCGCGACTTAAGAAAAGACTTAAGCGGCGCGACTTTAAAAAATACTTCAGCGGCGCGACTTAAGAAAAGACTTAAGCGGCGCGACTTAAGATAAGACTTAAGCGGCGCGACCTTAAAAAAACTTATGCGGCGCGACCTAGGAAAAGACTTAAGTGGCGCGACTTAAGAAAAGATTTAAGCGGCGCGACTTACGAAAAGACTCAAGCGGCGCGACTTAAGAAAAGACTTAAGCGGCGCGACTTAAAAAAAGACTTCAGCGGCGCGACTTAAGAAAAGACTTAAGCGGCGCGACTTCAGGAAACAATTAAGTGGGGCGACTTAAGA